TTCATGAAGCACTGCAACACAGGACCATGAAATAATTAAATAGTGAAATAATTATATATGTTTTTTTACATAAAATGAATCAGTATTTTAATGAATTAATGACACATTTGATAGCACTTTTATGTATTTAATTCCAATTTTAATTAATTAATGGCACATTTAAGTAATTATTTAATCAATTTAAAGTCAAAGTCAAAGTCAGCTTTAATGTCAATTCTTCACATGCACCAGACATACAAGGAANNTTTTGGCACTTTTAGTCCTCCACAGGACTTTACTGTCTGTATGAAAAGAGGAAAGGGGGCCAGTGAGATTCGTATGCAGCAGATATTTGTGCTACGCCCCTGCAAACACTGCTGTCCTCTTGCGACTTGTATGGGTTAAAGGTCAGTTAAGACAGAAGAAAATGCTGAATAACAGCTGAACTAAACTGTCAGAAACAGCCAGGATGGTGCCAGAAGTAAGGCTTTTTCTAAAATTCAAAATAAAAGTGTATCGAAGTTTCATAACTTAGACATGAGCTCAAAGAATTTAATTTAAGTTCATTAATGGGAAAAAGGAGAAATCAATAAAAAAAAAGTTGCTAAAATTGGCATTTCTTGTTTCTCGTTTTTGTGTACAGAACTATAAATATCAAGTAAATAACTTCTACTCGCTGTATCACTCAACGTTGAGTAATTGAAATAGCTTGCTGAAGTGATATCAATGAGCGTTTTACTTTGAAAAGTCTTGACAGGAAGTGTCTGTGCGCTGTGTGGGTGTCGGAACCGTTTGCTGCCAGCGACACCAAACAGCAGCAAGAACGAGGAGACGTCGTTAATTTCCGGCCGCACGGGAGATGAAGACGCTGTCAGCAGCTTAAAGCAGGAGCTGAGCGGCCAGGTGAGCTGTCAGCACCGCGGGGTAGCAGCGGAGAGACAGCCGGGGAGGAGGAGGCGGGGATGGAGGGGGAATAAGACATGGTTGTTTCGATATGTTTTCCACACCGCGGAAACAAAACAACAAGTGATACAAATGCTTGTACGGTGAAGCTTACACGATAGTCTGAAGGGAACATTATTCTCCAGAGCGCTGTTGACAACGCTACACCTGTCCTGCAGGTAGAAAACCTGACATTTTGTCTTTCTGTCTTCTTTAAACAGGCGTGAAGAATAGTTCAGACAAAATGCGCTTGATGAACTAAAAGTGCGTAGCTCAGGTTTCTAACCTCCACACGTCTGTTATCAGGTTAGATATTACATTTTATGACATTAGGTGTGACCACCTTAGTTATTCTAACGTTACATTGTTGAATAAATAAATATAAAGAAGGAATACATGTATGTTTGTATACATTATACAAAAGGGTATTATGTATATAATAATTAAGTTTAAAGGATGTATTCATAAACTGAAAGCAGCCTAATCTATCAAACATGAGTTCAACAATAGATAGTACTACTGTCTAAAGCTGTGAGGAGGACGGTCATGAATTAAGCCGAGTCATGTTGCTAATCTGGTAGCAAGGCCTGCCTCACTGTCACAGATTAATAATACTAATAATACAAACAGGAAATATACCGTGCAATTACAAATTAGGATGCAGCCAACAGTTAAAAACGGCATTTAAGAAACCAAGCATGTCTTTTATTAAAGGCCCAGGTAACATTTAATAGGATGTATTGGCAGAAATGGAATATAATATTCAGAGGTATATTTTCATTGGTGCATAATCAAGTGAAAATAAGTTGTTGTGTGTTTGTTACCTTAGAATAAGCTGTGTAAGTGTACAAAGGGAGTCATTAATGGAATAAGGGAGAACTGGATACAGCGTTATGGAAGCTGTTCAGTGGTGAATGAAGTCAGTTGAAGTTTTCAACTGTGGTCAATGAAGTTTTCCGAATATTCCGTCCGAGCTGCTAACTTGTATGCGGTGTATGTTAATCATGCAGCTCTTCTAGAGTTTCCAAGTGTTATTTGACAAAATGGATCAATTTTGGATAGTGAAAGTCATTTTGCGTAGGTTACCTTATGGGGTAAAAGTATTTTTGAGCCAGTGTGTATCACATGACGGACGCCATTGCTCTAATTATTTCATTATGTATTTAAAAAATGAGGCATTTGTCAAAATTAAAGAGTTCCAGTAATGTACATCAAGTCAAAATCTAACACAGTATTGCAAAAATGATTTTATTGTTTATGTTTCCAGCTTTCATATTTCACTTTTAATTTACTTCCTGCTTCAATATACAATTTTCTTATTAATAATATTATTTCTTTACATACTAATTTAAAGCAGCATTAATAGAGCTTTCACAAGCTGGAATCACAATCCTAGTTACTAACATCAGCTGACAGGGCAGGAAGGATACCACAGCCAGTGACTTAATGCCCTCCTATACTGAACTAACCACACAGACAGTTTGGCATTGCCCTGTTTTGAACTCCTCTTCGGGGTAACATTAACAGAGGGGTAGTTTTATTACTTTAGCCAGCCATAAAGATAAGATAAGCTCAGGTTGCAGTATAAGTTAATGTGTGTTGTGTTTGCTGCCACAGAAAAGAAATAAAGTGTCTGTGTTGTTTGTGTATGTTACTTTGGCATCTTCTGTACTCTTCACAGCAGCTTGTGAAAAAGTAGTTAGCAGCTATGACTCATGCTAAAGACAATTAAAAGAGAAACGGAGGTCTCCCAAATGCGCTGGAGCTGGACGCCACGGGTCAAACACGACCAGGTTGATTGCTGCAACGTAAAAACAAACTAAAGGTTTCTCTTTATTATCATGCAATGTGGTTGTTATCCATGCTGATGTGTATTTTCTCCTTCCGCATCTGAAGCTATCTTTATGTCTGGTTTGCAGGTGTGGTAGGTCTGTGTGCACCTGCACTTCCACAGCAGGAAACATCAGCACACTCACACACACTGTGGTTCTTTTCTAGACTGTTCCATTTATATGAAACACAGCTGTAATGGGATAGCTTTCAATGTCCTCCTTCCTCTTTCCTTCAGCAAACTCAACTATTTTCTCACCACACCTTCCTCACATGCTAGATGTTCCGGTTTTACTGAAAGTCTGCATCGGCGAAAGTTTGTGGTTGCTGGGATATTCCACCCATATGACATTGGATAACATATCAGATTCCAGTTTCAGGTCCTGAACCATAAATCTATATATCTAAGTTAAATAATTTGAGGGATTAAAAACTGTAGTTTTACAAGAAAAGGTTTAAATATTTTAAAAATATTTTTACAATAAACTTTGCATAAAGATGTAATATTTCAAGATATCATTTTATGAGAAAATAATATCCGTAGTAAAGCTAGGTTTCAAATATAATTACATTGTATTAGAAGAATAATATTCATCAGAATTCATCATTTTATTTTTTCCCCCCACAGTCCATCTAGGTTCTGTAGTTGTCCAGTAACTTAGATGTTCTGTGTGTTTCTTCAGCTATGGGGGTTGTTCCTAGCAGATGTGACGGTGGAGGTGAAGACAATGACAACCAGCCTATAGTTGAGAATGATGACCTCAAGAAGGGGGGCTACAGCAGGAGACACAGCTCAGGAGAGACAGTGGACTGTCCCACCTGCCAGGGTACTGGACGTATACCTAGAGGTAGTACACACTCCACACACACACACACACACACGCACACACAGACACTGACACTGACCCAGTCTTGTTTTGTAGACACGTTTAATGTGTCAAGCTAACTGACAAACACTTTGCACATTCTGTGACTAGCTTACTTCAAAAGAGAAGTCAACTCGTGATTCACCAGTTAAATGATTTTAATGTGAAGCTGCAGCAGTAGGATATTTAGTTTTTGTTAGCAGCTTTTTTGGGGGGGGCTGGGAAAAAAGTATCCAGGCTGCCCGAGCACAGCCAGATTGCTGGCTTTTAGTTCAGAAAAAGCTTGATTTGTTATGCAGCACACATTTTAAATGCTTATATAGTGCCAGTGGCACAGGAAATATTGCAAAGGGAGTGGGAAGAATGGATTCCACAAGCAAACATCACACCTTATGTAAAATAGCTAAAGCTGAAAAGAAGGCAGCCTCTATAACAGGATAATGATCCTAAACATACCTTGAAATCCACCATAGACTACCTCAAGAGACATGAGCTGAAGGTTTTGGGAGGGGAGGGAGGCCTGGAGGGGGTGTCATGAGGAGTCTTTCTTTGATTACCAGCCTGGTATTGGGGTGGACAACGCAGTAATCTACCTGCTGCACAGATCCCTGCTACACCTGGAGGACAGCGGGAGCACGGTGAGGGTCATGTTTTTTGACTTCTCCAGTGCTTTCAACACTATCCAGCCGTCACTGCTCAGAGTGAAGATGGAAAGTGTGGGAGTGGACCAACACCTGGCTGCATGGACAATAGACTATCTCACCAACAGACCACAGTATGTGAGGCTCCAACACTGTGTGTCTGACGTTGTGCTCTGCAGCCACTCTACAACACCTGCCACCACCTGCATCATGTTGTAGTTTCTGCTTTTCCAACATATGTATAATAATGATACTTTTTGTCCCTTCACAGGAAATTTCTTTACCCGAGGTCTGTACATACATACAGACGACATAACAACAAGAACAAGAAAAACACTAGGGGCGAGCACGGTTACAGGCCACGGTCCTGTATCTACGAATAATTACCACCACCACTACTCACCATAGCTTTTATATCTGTCTTTTATCTGTATTTATTTTATTTTTTTTACTCCAATTACTTACCATGTACAATATTATTTATACTATGGCCACTTTACTTTTAGTACTCGTTCTGCCCGTCTTTGCACTTGTTTGTTATTTGTCCATTTGTTTATCATATATGTTTAAGGACACTTCTGCTTGTTCGTTGTGTTTACCCATTCTATTTTATTTCTGTAGTGTATATTACACATCTTTTGCTTCTGTCTTGCTGCTGTGACGAGTTAATTTCTCCGTTGTGAGATGAATAAAGTATAATCTAATCTAATCTTCATCAATAGCAATAAGAAAACTGTTCAAAAAAATATCAATATAGCATGTCCACAAAACCAGAGCTCAAGGGATCTCTTTAAAAATGGCCAGTTTTTACATCCATAGCAGGACATGGTTGGTACCAATGGATGCATTAGGTGAACTAGTTTTATATGATACCACACATTAAAATTATATTATTACCTATGTGCTTTGATAAATGAAGTGGCTAAGTTCAACTTTTTTTCACTTGGTCTTTACTAAAAATAGGTTATTAAAAGTCGATATCACTGAAATTTAAGATATTATTGTGATACATTTTCAGCTACATTGCCCAGCCCTACTTTGTCAGGGCATACATTTTTAACATGGCTGCCATGGCGGTGCGCCATGACCATCTGGCCTGAAGTGAAAGCAAATGCCTCCTGGTTCCGCTTTCCATAAAGGCCGTGGGATGGATCAATGATGCCAGACCTCAACAGACCGCCCATATATTCCACACAGACAGAGCCCTCTCTCATTGCTGTGTGCCCATTCTTAATGCGCATCTTGAACTTGACAGTAACTGGTGGTACCACAATTTTTACTCATATATATAGTGTTAAGAGTGTAAATATGTGAAACGTAAAAGCTTTCATGAAAACCTAATTGCACCCTCTTCAATGAAAAATATCTACAATGTGGATACCTGGTAGCTTTATATACTATTTGATATTCTAGATTTGGATAATCATCTCAGACTTTGTGTTTTTTAAACTGACATTCACACTAAACTCACACTAAGGCAACAATGGGTACAGATAACAGAGAGGGGGAGGAAAAGGAGCTCAACTCACTGACTGCTGGCAAACAAACCACAAACAATAAACATTCTTCTGCAATCAGGCTCCAAAATTAGCACCAGCTACAAACTATACTTTAATGAATAAAATAAAAGAGGTCAACTGGCATTGGTGGTAGTGCTGTGTATAACCCTAATTGGCAGGTTGCTAAGTAGGTCTATTTTACTACAAACTCTTATCACTACAACACATGAATTTATTGTAAAAAGTTTTTATTTTTTATTTTTAAATCGACCCTGCACACACGACTGTCAATAATTGTACCACAATTCTTTGATTGACCCTCGCTGTCCACTGTCTCTACTTCATCTAGATAGCTACCAAGCTTGATTACCAGTACCACTGTTACCACAGTAGGCATGTCACGACAACCGATACTTTGGTACCAAGTTGATACCACAATTCTGAAAACTTGACAGTATTGGTTTTTCTATAGTATAGTAGTGTAGGTACTGAGGATGCAATTTTTCTGAACCTGGCGGGGCAGCATATACGTGTGTAAATCTACTAGTCTGTGCTGTGTGCATGCAGGCGCTGACAGTGGTGGAGAGCAGCACACTGCAAGTACAACAAAGACCCTGCAAACAAAAAGCAAATAATAGTATTTTATTAATGTAGTCCGTGTGAAAGATGTACAGACGAGGAAAATGAACAATGAACAGAATATAGCTAATTTAGGTAACTCAAGCCTTTGCACTGCAGCAACAAACTGCAGGAGTGAGGACACCATTAAAAAGGGAGAGAGAAATTCCCTCCAGACAGTGACAAGACCAAAAAAGATTACAGAGACGGTTTGTTAGGCTTTGTTATAGCCTACTTTGTTATTTAGTTGAGTATAATAAAATAATAAGGAACAGCTTGGATGCAGGCATTTTTTTCTGAATGCAAATGCAATGCAGAGCTATTCACCTGTTTTATTAAGGAAAATACAAATATTGGATCAGGGTTAGGTATCAGCAGACTCAATATTACATGAGGATCAGGGGCAAAAAAACTTGTTCGGGACATTTTTACCGTGGTATAGAATCGCTTTCGAAAATCATGGAATTATACTGGTACTAGTATCGACTACAAAGTTTCTGGTATTATGACATGCCTATACCATATAGGACAATTTTGTAAAAATTGCAAAGAGAATGTGTGCGTCACACTGCAGGAGTAAATCAAAAAATTAATTAAGTGGCTTAACAGATGACATGGTTAGGAGAGTTTTTAAACGGATCTTAAAATATCTGGGCTGATAAACTGTTTCAGTTTAGAAAGGATGAATGATCCTTTCTTGAACCTACAGATTCCTCAAGATGTGAAATTGAGCAACAATGACATGTTCCATTTTATCTCCCCGTTTTTCTAACTGTTTCTGTGGTATGCTTATAGATTCAAATCAAATTGAAAAGGTTAAAGGAGGGTACCAAAATGGACTAAGGTACATACGTACATAATAATTGACAACTGTCTTACTCTACAGAGTCACATCAATGAAAGGAATAAAATATCTTGTTTAAGCTAATGGTTAACATTAACCGCTGTGTAGGAGCTGTGCTCCCCATTGAGGCCTGTTTACATGGGTGGTCTGTGAATCCTCCTCAGTGTTTGTCGAAAGCCACACAAAAGCCTTTTTGCTTTTTACATACACAATAGGCCACCCATGTGACAACAAAAGCCTTTTCAGACACGACTGAAATAGCTGTGGGGAGTGCAATTGCACCACCAACTTTCTCCACTTGTGTTCGTGCAGGACAAATCACAACAACCACACGGCTCTCGCTCATCACATACACAACCAATACCACTCGCCATTGAACTCATCACCTTGCAGAAAAACTGAAATGAAAGTTGCAACTAGAAAAGTCTTTTTGTGTCAAGGTCAAATTGATTTATGGAAATGAAATTCCCATGGTATCTTGTCCTATTCCTGTGTGCAAGTGGCCTTAAGGTTATAAGTGTTCTGTCTCTCACATGCTGATTTTCATTTCATGGTTGCGTATATCTGGCCTGTATAGCATGTCAGCATTCTAATGTTAGCTTTTAACTAAAAGCACAGCTGCCCTCCCACGGGCCAGATTAAACAATGTTGGTGACAACAACAACAAAGAATAGCAGGAGTATCTGTCCATTTCTCACTTAATTTTGTTTGCTTCACAGGGTTGCTAGAGGCAAATATATTTTGGTGGGGGTCAGGATGTTTAATATAACTCATATAGTGTGTATTCTAATATTTATAAATGAGTGAACTGACAGGCTGCATTGCATTCTCAAAAAAAGGAAGAAGAATTTCATGCTTGTGAACAAAGAAATGATTGACACACATAGCTAGGGAAGTCACTTAATAGTGAATAGTTTGTGGTTAGTCTGTTATTAATAGTAATGGTCTCTAGTAACATGTAAACAACATTTCAATTTACAGTTTGAACAAGGCTCAGATCAGGGCTCACATCTTTGCAAAAATTTAAAAAATTTAAGATAGATAAAGATATAAGTGATAAAGAAAGGTGGATGCTGCTTTAATCAGGTAAAGCAGCTTCTAAACAAATAGCAACATTTAATAGAAAGTTAAGCAAAATGACACGTTAAGCTTGTTCAGTGCTACAAAGAAGAAGCCATGACGTGACTACTTATAACTCCAGTTCATTAAAAATCTGCTGTTTAAAGCCTGTGTGAATATATGATATGGACAAGTTCAAAAGAGTCAACTCCCCAAAAGGAAGAGACCATTTTGCATCAGTGATTATAATGTTGAGACAAGTGGCTTGTTTCCTCTCCCTGTCTCCGTCTCTGCTGCTAAATGTCCCTGACTGGGGTTGAGCTACCTTGTGGTATTCTGAGAATGTGTCAAAGTAACAGTTGCTCCTCCCAGTATGTGAAATGGCCATTGTGTGGAATTTATTTGAAACTCACTGACTTCCCTAAAATCTACAGAAACAGAAGTGAAATTGTTAAAAACCTAAGCAAATATATTTTCTTTTCAATGCAGCTATTCTAAAAAAATCATCAGACTTGCGCAATTATTTCCAAAGATGTTCACACAGCTCTTGGCAAATACTACATTTAAAGTCTTCTGTCAGCAAAAAATCCTATGACTTGATTGCTTGTAAGACAAAAAGAAGACATTATTTCCTGCTTTATTTTCCTATGTTGGCTTGGCCAGTATAATCACACATTCAAATGTCACTAAATGCACTGTAACAAGTAGCTTATAGAACCCACACACAATCTGTGGGTTGGAATGGCCTGCATACATTTTATCTGGCCAGCAGGCTCAATTTAGCTATTCATTTTTAAGGCCGCTAGCAGTCGTCACCACAGCAGATCTGAATAACAAATTAAAACACAAGTCTGCGCTGTGCACAGGCCATTTACACAGAAGCATTAGGCCACAATTGTAGAACTGTAGATTGTAGACCCTGTTTCTGTCTCTCTCTTTCTCACACACACACACACACACCTACACAGTGAGTAAAATTAAATTACATTTAAGATGTGACTGAGCAGTCACAATGGTGTTTCCAGATGATGTCACAACTTCTCAGTGTTGGTGAATTTTTTGGCCTGTGTGCAGATAAGCCTGTGAGTCCAAAAATTATTAGCATATTATCAGACAAACATTTACAGAAACAACATGCCCAAGATAACATCCAATGTCATGTGCCATGACACATCAGCCTGCCCTGCAATGCCTCTTTCCGTTTCTCTCACTCTGTATATGTTTCTGTTGACTGTTTTTTAGCAGTACACTTTATAAAGTTGCACCAAAAAGCACAACTGGCATTCCACTTTCACATCAGCAGGTGAGCCGTGCGTGGAAGAGGCTTGTTGTTAATAACGAAGCCTATCAAAACCAACATGGTACCAAATGACATCGGCACACAGTGTGTTCTCTGTTCACTGTTGCTTTAAAATACCCACTGTGTCCGCATCGGAGAACGTCTCTCTGTGTTTCTCTGCAGCGCATGCGTGACTGTCAGTGGACCATACAAGAGGGGCAGAGCGAGGGGAGACTGTCCACTAATTAACTGATCACGGATATTTGTACTGGGACAGAGACACTTTGCTGAAGCAATGGTGAAAACCCCAATGTTAAAGAGACGTGCAAAAATATTTCCAGTTCATTACGAAAATGTGGTGGGACAAATTAGAAGTGTGACGCCACGGTCTAGGTAATTAATATGGGGCCTTGTGGAGATTAATAAGAAACTCTGCACATAATGGCCACTAGGGCTGGGTATTTCCAAGAATCAATAGAGGGGTCACAATTCAGTATATTATGATATGTTACTATACTGTCAACAAGGAGATATATTGTGTTGCATCCAGATGCTACATCATAGCACTCACTTTACATTTACAACACTGCTATCTAGCAGCTGGGGTTTGAACACAAAAAACTATACAGTGTTCTTGAAAATCAATATATCACAAAACGAAACAAAAAATTTTCTTTCACGCCTAATGGCCACTAGGGACAAACAGGCTAACTGAGTATGTGTGATGGAACTGTGAAGTGAATGAACAAATGAAAATAAAAGGTGGCTTCTGAATTTTTTATCTTTTCATCTGTCGTGGAATGAGAAATGCAGATTCTGTACCTTCTTTTAAAATGAAATGAAATACATTATTGTATGAATTAGTAAATCCAGTAAGAGACATAATGCTATAATATGTAACATTTCCACATTAAAATGTCTATAAACTCTAGCTCTATGTTCTATATGTAGTTGAGTTGTGTACTTCCGTTATCCCAAATGTTTCCAACAATGTTTAAACTCAGACCAATCTGTCATTTTATTCAGGTAACGCTGCGTTTCGCCTGTCAATGGCACCATATCCCCTTTGTTGTTGTGTTGTGGTTGTCTGCCAGAAGCTGTCATACATTACACTTTTTATCCAGTTGAAGCCACATTATTACCATTTAATAGGTTGTGCTGTGTTTCAAATGCATCTGCTAAATAAACCACTTCATTAAACAGAGCCCACAGCACATCAAATAAAGTTGGCTCAAAAAAATAGAAACAGCAAAGCTTTTCATGTCAGCGTTGAAGATCCAAAATATGCAGACCACTAGAGAGGAGAGACTATACAAGAACCCACTGACTTTTAATTAGTGATCTGTGGTACAATTTTTTCCTTTATGACACAGTAGTCAGCACTTTAATTTCAGCTTTGACTTTAGCAGCTTGGCGAAATGTGTGCGCTTCCTTTCTGGATAACGCCTAAGCAATTCTCCATTAGATGCATCTGTTTGAAAGATAAAGATAACATGATTACAACATGTCTGGGGTGGTGAGGGCATTCCAGTGGCAAAGTGTGGTCGCTGGAATTACGTAGGCTTGCAATCAGTGGCTTAATTGCCAGGAAATGCATCAAAAGTGTCCCAGCCAATCTCACATTTGATCAGCTCAGCTCCCCTGTGCTCTGGGAAAGGGCTGGATTATGCAATCACTTCCTGTTTCTGTTTACCCTTCACAATCCAAGGCTTGCTAATAGGAACTAGAGAAACACTTCCTGCTCCAGGAAATGTCTAATATGGAGCAAAGCGCATATGGAGCGGCTCAAAATTCACATCACAGCAAAATTCTGAAGCTAATACACTTGCTTGAACACGGTGGTCAGCATTTATTTATCCAACAGATGTTTTTCACAGCAGCCATTTTGACATGAAATAGTAGGGTAAACACAGGTCAAACAGAGTCAGGGGCACTTGCTGGCTCACTGGAAAGGCTCTGCAGCTCTAAAAGGAACAGAACCATAAAAAATGTGGACGTCATAGATTATTTCCTGGATATCTGATCATTTGGTATTTCCATGACAGGAAAACTAGTCTTAGTCTAGTAAATTTCCAGGTTTTCCAGGTTGGGTGGGAACCCTGACCGGGCGTTGCCACATCTCTAATACTGAGACTCGGCTAAAAGTGGCAAAATAGTAGTAAGATCCTATCATTTGATTTGCTGATGTCAAGATAGTTATGGACAGCAATGTACAGCTGGCCCTACTCTGTGATTCCAAATAATTTACTGGCCATCTGGCTGGGGACTCCTTTACATTTTTCCACCAAAACCAAAATGTACTGGCATTTGGTGCTTGGCGGGTCTTAAGTTTGGACGCTGTTTAAGTATGCTCCGCTTTACAGGCGGGCAGAGGCAAAGTACTTGCTGGTAATGTTTTTGTGATGAAGCATTCAGTGTCAAGAGAAATACTGTAAATATACAGTAAAAACAACTTGAGTAACACAGGTTGCCAAGAAGCCTGCAACATATAGGTGGACTTCTGGAGTAGACTTCTCTACTGCATAGCTGTGGTCTCTGGTGGGCCACAGGAGCAAGCAGGTCATGGTGGATAGCTTAGTTGTGCTATTGAGTCTCACAGGCCTTTCAGAGTCACAGAGGACTCTATTCAGCTCAGCTGGTGGACAGGGCGTCAGCACTCTTTTTAAAGGCCGTCACTTGATGCCACTGCAGTCACATGCTTCTTGTGCAGCGCTGTATTCAGTGTGGGGAGAGTGAAGCTATGGGGCAGGGCCTCTGGGGGGATGCAAAGGTACAAATCTATATTAGTGTGCCCGCTGTTATGTTTCAGATAAACCATGTACAGATTGACACAGCTGAGGTTCCAGGGTGTGCAGGAAGTAAGAGAATACGCCACCTTCACCTCTGTTGGGAGTCCGGGATGTTATAAGGCCGGGGACGTCTGAGGAGATGAAACATTGTCATTGCAAAGCATTGCACTCTTTCTGCACTCATTCATGT